TCTGGGCGGGCGGGACAAGAAAAATGCTATTGTTATTGGAATATTATCTGCTGGCTGCGTAGATTTGTATCATAGTATTGGGCGTCGAAAGTCGACTCGGCGTAAAATAGGTACAAGGATGGATTTCCTAGGGAAGCCAAGACGGCCGGCGTAATACCTACCACATTACAAACCCAAAGCTGATTGGTCTGTTAAAATATAGGATGCTCTTGCCATATGCCCGGTGCGCACAAGGCATGAGAAGGGATCTTTACTTTTACTTTACTGCAATATTATACATTGGGTGTTGTATAAAACAATTTATCTACTAAAATACATTAGTACAAAAGAAATTAAATAAAATGAAGAAAATTGAAGCTGATTTCACCTTACCGAGAAGAGATAAGGTGAGAGTATACTTCGCTAGCATTTAGAAACGAGCAGGATATGAAGTTGTTGTTTGGATGGAGAGTACGCTTCCAACTTCAGGAATCTGAAATTGGTTTTTCCAATCCCCGCTACCTAGACCTGATTAAAGCTCACCAGGTTTAACTTTTAAAAATCGGCCCAAAGAACTTTGCCTCTGCCTTTTTCTTAGGATGCCCTTTGGGAGCGAGTGAACAGTGCGGAGGCACAGATAGATCATTACGGTCTAAGGAGAATGGTACTGTGTGGAGTTACCAGGGGATAAAGCCGACGCTCAACACTCAGGGGAAGGATGACACCGATATACCGTCAGACGGTTATTGGTACCATCGGAATTGGAACTCTTCGCTTGCTGCTGAAGATAGGGACTGAGCACTGGAAGTGCTGTGATGTCGATTCCTAATTCAACATTCAACATTCTTCCCAAGATGTTTCAGAAATATGACATTGCGTGGTCCTTCCAGACAATGTTGTTACGACTTGTTTAGACAGAGTTAGGGGTGATACTTTTTTGCAAAGTCATTGACATCTATCCGCGTACTTTTTTGCAAAGTCATTGACATCTATCCGCGGCTTGGTAAAGAAAGATAGCGAGCCGTGTCGAGACTAATGTTAGCTGATACAAATTCATATTCCAAACATTTACCAAGTAAAGGTTTTCGCGTCCTAACACAACGTATACCACTTTGAACGTATACCTAAGCAAACGTATACCGAGGTACACTGTATCTAGATTTTTGGTCCATTTCGAATTGGTTTAACGAGATTTTACTGTAGTTTCATTGTCTTTAGGCGTCCTCGACGTTTCTGTATTCCTGTCTGCCCTTGTCTTCGCCTTTAAACACGTGACAGTCGCATTGTGTTGTGGTTACCAGCTAGGTTATGATATCTGTGCCATTTGGCTTTCTACATAAGAGTTTATCAAACTACTAATTAACAACATCGATAACAGCAACTAAACCAACACGAAGAACAGCAAAATCACAGTATCTCAGGAGACAGCCCAATCAATGGCAGTAACTCCATCAACGCATGGCACAACATGGAACACATCACCTAATTATATCCAAGCCTGCGCAATGAGAGGGACACGACCTGGCCGACCAGACAGACAGGGCAGACATTACATTCTAGCATAAAACACTAGGCAAAGAAAATAGCAACGCAGTCGTTGTCGTAATTATAACCAATATTGACCAAGTCGAAGCTAGCTTGCTTGTAAGAGGCTGAAGGTGGCTGATTCACATCCGACGAAGGAACGAACTGATTGGTTGCTTTTCATTGTCAAGTGACATAAGGTCTAAATTCGTCTATTTAAACAGCACGATGTGTCTGTGGTAGATGTGGTCAGAAGAACAAGAAGCAAGCAAAACGTTAAAAATTCCCCCACACCCAAAGAGGTACAAGACAAAGTGAAGAAACAAAAAGTTTACACAACGATCTCTCACATATGGTTGCAGGCGGCTTCAACATTGGCCATCAAACTAACAGAACCGGTGACAATGGCTATAGGACACCACCTGGTCTCAAGAACTGGTATGCCTTTACAAACAGCAGTCAGCATCCCAATCATTATATCTGGTGCTGTTGTCTTTACAGGTAAGGACATCACCTGCTAACTTACAAGTGTGTATTGATTAGTTGTTATTGGTCAATGTGTAGTGGTCAGTATGTAGTGGTAAGTTGGTAAAGTTCAACGTTAAGTAGTCAGTGTATGGTGGTAGTGTGTGATGGTCAACGTGTAGGCGTTAGTATTTAGTGGTCAACGTGGCGTATTTAGTGTATAGTCAGGGCTGTCGGGAGGGTCACGGTATAGTGGTCTGTTTTTAGTGATAAGCAAGTAGTGGTCGTTGTGTAGTGGTCAATGTGTAGGAATCAGTGTGTTATGTCAACGTGTGAGGGTCATAGTGTAATGATCAACGTGTAGTGGTCAGTTGTAGTGGTCAACATGGAGTGTTCAACATGTAGGGGTCAGTGTGTCGTGGTCAATATGTATTGGTCAAATCAGTACTATTGTATGGGGCGGAAACATAGAGAACAACCAAGGCAATTACTAATAAATTACATACATTCATTAACTGGTGCCTGCGCAGAATAGAGGGAATAAAATGGTATGATAGAATAACTAATGTAGAACTTTGGGAGAGAACTAAACAGGCTCCAGTAGATCAGGAAGTGAGGAACAGACGCTGGCGTTGGATAGGGTACACACTGAGAAAACAGGTTAACAGCATTACTAGAATGTCTTTGCATTGGAACCCACAGGGGCATAGGAATAAAGGAAGGCCAAAAACACATGGAGAAGAGAGCTGGAGAACGAGGTTAGAAAGATTGGGAGGACATGGGGAGAGCTCCATGCAATGGCGAAGGTTAGAACGACTTGGCGTGAGTTGGTTGAGGGCCTATGCCCCATTGGGGGATAGAAAGGCAGAAGAAGAAGAATGTATGGTGGTCCACGTGTTGTAGTCAGTGGGTAGGGGTCACTTTGTAGGGGTCAACTTATAGTAGTCAATATGTGGAAGTCAACTTGTAGTGGTCAGTATGAAGTGGTTAGTATGTCGTGGTCAATGTGTCAGAATATAGTGGTCAGTGTGTGACGGTTAACCTGTAGTGGTCAATGTGTTGAATTCAACGAGTAGTGGTTAGCATGTGGTCAGTGTGTATTGGTCAACGTGTAGTGATCAGTATTCTTGGTCAGGTTGTCGTGGAATGTGATGGTCAGTGTGTCGTTTTCAGCGTGTAAAAATCGGTGTGTGGTGGTCAGTGTGTTGGAAGTCAACATGTAGTGGTCAATATATGGTGATCAGTTAAAGGTTGTCAACGTGTAGTGGTCAATGAATGGTGGTAAGTGTGTGGTGTTCAATGTATAGTGGTCAAGACATGGTGGTAACGGTATGGGGGTAAGTGTGTGGTGGTCAATGTATAGTGGTCAATGCATGCATGGTGGTAACTGTATGGTGGTAAGTGTGTGGTGGTCATTGTATAGTGGTCAATGTGTGGCGGTAACAGTATGGTGGTAAGTGTGTGGTGGTCAAGGTATTATGTCAATGTATGGTGGTAAGTGTATGGTGGTCAATGTATAGTGGTCAATGTGTGGTGGTAACAGTATGGTGGTAAGTGTGTGGTGGTTAATGTATAGTGGTCAATGCATGGTGGTAATAGTATGTGGTGGTAAGTGTGTGGTGGTCAAATTATAGTGGTTAATGTGTGGTGGTACCAGTATGGTGGTAAGTTTGTGGTGGTCAATGTATAGTGATTATGCGTGGTGGTAACAGTAGGGTGGTAAGTGTGTGGTGGTATATTTATAGTCGTCAATGCATGGTGGTAACAGTATGGTGGTAAGTGTATGTTGGTCAGTGTATAGTGGTCAGTATGTGTTTGACAGTGGGTGGTAGTCTAGGTGTGGCCTTAGTATGTGGTAGTTAGTCTGTGGTGTTAGTGTATGGTGCTCAGTGTGTAGGGGTCAGTATGTGTCTGATGATGTGTGATAATCTTTGTATGGCATTAGTATCTGGTGGCTAGTGTGTGGTGTTACGTCTTTGGTGCTCAGTGCATGGTTTGTGTGTGTGTTGGGTTTATCGTTGATATGCAGTGATTGTTGTGGTCTCTGTTTACGCCTGTGTGTAGTGATTACTGTGGGGCTGATTTTTTGTGTGACATCAGCGTGTGGTGTCATTTTGCAGCATCAATGTGTGGCATCAGTATGTGGCGTCAGTGTGTGGTGTCAGTATGTGGTGTCATTGTGCAGCATCAGTGTGTGGCTCCAGTATGTGGCGTCAGTATGTAGCGTTAGTATGTGGTGTCGTTATTTAGCGTCAGCGTCTAGGGTTAGTATTGTTTAGCGGCAGTGTTCGGTAGTAAGTGTATTATGTCCTGATTGAGGGTGATGCTGTCATTTACACAGATGGGTCTGTTATTTGACACCTGAGAAATTTATATCATTTTTCCGCTCAAGTTCGAATGAAAAATTCGGTCTAAAGACGAGTAGATTGCTATTATTGCGTTCTATTGAGGCTGTCAGAATGCAAAGACATATGGTCGCTCTCCCAATTTGATAAAGCACGGCATTATTATCTTATCAATGCGAACACGTGTATCGCGATGCCTCTAAGGTAGCGACGATAGTTCGTTTCAGATTTATGTTTGTTAGCTGCAATCCCCGTTAGTCAATAGTGGTCTCACAGGGGTCTCTACAGAACGTCCCATAATTCGTCCCGGATGCTGTCCACAGTTTAAAGAGAACTTTTAGAAAAAAGTTAAAAAAAAAAAAAAAATCGGCCATTTGACATTCACTTATCCAGACTTGCAGAAACTTTCCAACTTCTTCATTCTCAGAACTTTTCTGGAATCCACACCCAACTAGAGCTGAATCTGCATTAATCTCTTATTTCTTCTTCAAGATTGTTGTTATTGTTAATGATACTATGGTTTACGTTGGCGCGTGCATCCACTAAAACATTGCCTAGCTGAATTTCGTTAGCCGAGGCAGACAGAAGAGAAAAATATCTTGTTTAGCTCAAAAATGCGTTTCCCGACCAACTTGTTGGCCATGATATCACTGTGTATGCTATGTTCTCTGTCCCTTTACTTCACAGATATGAATGTACAACACAACTTCAAGAACATCGCAGGGACTCTTCTGGCATTGGCCTCCAACGTGATACTCACTGCACGGAACCTGGCGCTCAAGAAGATCCAGGATGCTCCCAGTTCACACGCACCTATGATCTTGAAGCCATGCTCACACATCGCTTTTGTTGTTCTAGCTGAGTTTGGACTTGTGGGCCTGGTTGCCTACCTCCAGACGATCCAAGTGGTTACAAGGAATGTCTGGACGCTACTGGCTCTGTGCCTGACATCCGGAGTTTTCCACGTCGTGTACTCCTACATCTCTACCAACTTAGTCTTAAGGGTAAGTTTTAAATAAATGTTAATGTTAGCTGCATTTGGGAGTCGCCGTGGCGAGGTCAGACTTTTTAAAAAAATGACCTTGACTCCCAGGTCAACCCAGCCTTGAGTGGGAACCGGGTGCAGTCCCGGGAAGTAAAGGCGGTTGGAGTGATAATGACCACATGACCCATCTTGTGCCGATTGGGCTATATACTATAGGTCTAGCCCTATATGCCCCATGAGCCTAAAGGCGTGGAAAAAGGACCTTTACTTACTTTAGTTAGCTGCATTTATTTTAAAGTGCCTGGTCAATCAACATCAGCATGTTGAAGCTATTTTTAAATTTACTAGGCAATTTTATATTGAGAAGTTTGCCATTGTCTCATTAACATTCGCCATTCAGCCCTTAATCAGTCTGCAGTCGTTGTCTCTTTTTCCTGTTCACGTGTGATTGATCTACCCTGTGGTTTTCTCTTTCCTATTCCTGTGGAGCACCTCCATCAGTCTTTTTTTTTTCCACATTGTCATATTTTCTTACATGTCAAAATATATTTAATTTGTCTTAATATTCGTCTTCTCATAATGAAATCTTGAGCAAGCTCTTGCTGAATACTTCTCTGTTTGTCTACTGTGGCGGCCGGTAGAGACAGATAGTTGGGCTTCTGCTTCAGAACAAACTTAGTGTCGCGCGCCCACGTGGGTAAATACACTGATATAGTGAGGGTGTGGGTTTGATCCTTAACAATGCCCACCCACGTGAGAAACTGGACTATTATCTAAGCTATGTTGATCCTAGACAGTCCTGGATAGCCAAGAAAACAGCGAGTGGCTCGTTCCATGAAATGAAAGTTGCTGTACTTGTATCCACAGGAGAAGGAGAAGGGATAGATAGATTTCTGGATACACCCACTGTGATATAATCCAGGTGCTCAGTTAACCCCTGCGACTGGTCTCCTTTCCTGGCATTACTTAAAAGCCCCCATCAAGTGATTTAAATATTTGTTAGCTGAAGTAAACTAATATGCACAAAGACACTTGAACCTAAGTACACAATTTACTCAACTAATGTTGTTACGACATCAAAAAGATTTATTTAATAAATCGAAATTAAAATAAAATGAACTGTTTAGGCTAGTAGAGTTGGGATGATGTTGTAGATGACATTAAAGTTGTACATAACTTAGCTCATCAGTTCTCGGCTTGAGGCCCTGCCTATCTTTTCCAGTTTGTCGTCCTCACTGCTTTCTGCAGGTCGTTACACTCGACGGTCGGCAAATAATGGATGCCTACTAGTCCCTGCCCAATGTGGGAACTGGAGAATGAAGAAACAAGCGCATATTTGTAGTATCTGCTCTAGATGTACACTAAGCATGTATATTATACTAACATCAAGCATGTTTATTCAAATAAAACATTTCATCTCTCCCTCATGCTCACATTCACTCCTGTCCAATTTGGAAGGGCTTATGTCTCACATTCCAACTGTTACATCTTCTGCCTTCCTCTACACGTCCTGTAATGATAGTCAAGTCTTCTACGTCAGGTGCCAGCTCTCGTAAGACTCAAAATGACAATCAGTCAGACAGAACCAGTTCTGGAATCTATGCTTGGAACAATCGACGCGCCCAGAATGCTAACAATAGTTCTGGTGCGAATCAAATAACAAATCTCGTGGATTTACTCTCCGGGATCAATCTCCGCATTAGCCTCCCGAGAGTTAAACACATTTCAGTGTGTAAGCTGTATGTAATACAGATTCACATTAACCACACGTGAAAAGATTGCCAAAGTTATCTTCACGCTTGTGATTTCAAAAACATGATAGTTCATTAAATTTCAATGGCAACAACAACATTTAGGTTTTACAACATTGAAACACACGTGCACGAAAAAACATTCATGACACTATAAGTTAGGATATAAAGCAATGTGACAGTGCCCTACGAGAATGAAGAAATGTCCGCCTAGGAGTATTACAAAGTGATGAAGACACACACTTGAGCAAAAAGATAGATCTCTATCATAAAATATAGATGTGAACCTAATTTCGATCTTACCTGGAAAAATTAAACCACGATGCCAAAAGTTCTGTCTCAAGCTTAGGTTAAGCCCAACAGATGGCATGTGCTAGACAGGATCTCATTTACCAGACCTAGCGTTCACCACTTTATAACTTTTATCAAGCTCCTCCTACATTACGCCTAAAATCATTCTCATTCACGGATGCCACAGCTCCTCCCTGTGGGTAAGTTTATTCGCTGTCAGTCAGTGACTGTACAACAATTGTTTGAATTCCCACGCTAGGGTCTCCTGGGCAATTTATCTGACCATAGCAGATAAGACAGGTCACACCTCTAGTCTACTTCAACTGCCATCACAATAAAATCAGGCGGTGTCAATTCTTCTGTTAACACTTTCCGCTCACTGTGTCAATAGTGACCGTCGGACAGGCCGTCGAGTTAGGTAACCTCAGGGGGAATTAAACACAATTAGCCGGAGTTAGCTGCTCCTAAAAGTCTGGCTAGGAAATGAAATATCTGACACCAACAGATGGTGTGCAAATCTCCAGTCAGTAAGTCTGCTTGGTCAGTCTTATCTCTGTACCTTAACACTTAACGTCTGGGAAAAAGTTTTAGTGTGTGATATCGCCAACATCCCAGGAGAATTAAATGCTTGTTCATTTCGCCTACTTAAAATAAAGAATGTATCCAAATCCCTATTTTCCTGTATACTTTCAAAATACAAAGAAATAAAAGTAGGTTAAGGAATAACATTCTGAAGTCACCGAGCGTATTGTCACACTTAGTCATTGCTTTAGTAATGTGTAAAACGAAACAAACATAAAAAGTAAATGTATGCATAAACTTACTAACACCCTAAACAAGAGAAAATATGTTTACACAATATTGATAGCTTTAATAGTTCATTTAGAACTAGAATTATTAATTTGAAAACGAAATCAATTCTTGTTGTTTCACGTTGGGCGAAAAGAGTGATGAAATAGGGTAGGTCAACAGGATGTTTGCCACAGAACCACACTACATAATGTGCAGATTCTTATTTCGGATACGTGCCCATACGCATACCAGCGAAACGGTGTCGCCGGAAACCATCATATGCTAGGGAATAGCTACCGGTGTCTTGCTTGAGAATTATATAGTGTTGACGTCTGGGCACAAGTCGCGGGGAAGCAGGTAGACGTGTGGGCACACGTCGCGGGGAAGCAGGTAGACATGTGGGCACACGTCGTGGGGAAGCAGGTAGACGTCTGAGCACAAGTCGCGTGGAGGCAGGTATACGTCTGGGCACAAGTCGCGTGGAGGCAGGTAGACGTCTGGGCACAAGTCGCGTGGAGGCAGGTAGACGTCTGGGCACACGTCGCGGGGAAGCAGGTAGACATGTGGGCACACGTCGTGGGGAAGCAGGTAAACGTGTGGGCACACGTCGCGGGGTAGCAGGTAGACGTGTGGGCAAACGTCGCGTGGAGGCAGGTAGACGTCTGAGCACAAGTCGCGTGGAGGCAGGTATACGTCTGGGCACAAGTCGCGTGGAGGCAGGTAGACGTCTGGGCACAAGTCGCGTGGAGGCAGGTCGACGTCTGGGCACAAGTCGCGTGGAGGCAGGTAGACGTCTGGGCACACGTCGCGGGGTAGCAGGTAGACGTGTGGGCACACGTCGCGGGGTAGCAGGTAGACGTGTGGGCAAACGTCGCATGGAGGCAGGTAGACGTGTCTTGATTTTGAAGCATCGCATAACAAATATTCTCAGTCGCTTCGTCAGTCAGCACAGGGTCATTTCTGGTTCAGCCATTTTCGTTGCATTCCAGGTACTTGCTCCAAGTGTCAGCTATCACGGTTTAATCACGGTTCACGGTAGACACTCATCTCAATTAACTCAACCTGTTTCTCCTGCTGTCAAACCCAAACTGAGCGTCTGTACTTCCTTACGTTCAATCCTTTCTATCAGTTTACGAGTTTCTTACTTCTAATCGATCACTTGTAGACGGGAAAACCAAGATTACTCCATACACGCTTTCCTGGGTTTTCTCTTAACTGGCCCTAAACGCTTAACTCGTCACACTAGGAAAACCCCTTCTACGTCATTGGGTGTCCTACGCATTACAACTCTTGTCCATAGTTTGTATGGAACACCTTTCGTTAGACACGGCTAGCTCCAGATTTTTATAAGGCCGTACAGCTCCATCGGGAATTCCCGTTCTTGTGCAAGAATTGAGTCCCTCTGAGTCCACAGAAAATCTGGAGCTGGCCGTGCGTTAGATCACCAGATTCTGTAACACTTATAAACATTACCAGCGCAGTCGACATTGAACGAAGGCATAATTTTTTTTTCTCATGCGCACAGGTGATGAACGTAGTCAGCCATTCAATAGCAAACATTTTCAAGCGGTTCCTTGTGGTACTACTGCTGTATATGGGTGGCAACCGACAGATTACGGCCATGAACTTCATCGGTTTGTGCATGTCTCTGTGTGGCCTTCTTGTCTACACATTTGGCAAGACACGACATGAAGACCAACTCAAAGAAGAAGGTACTGAAGGTAACTACTTTACATGTCCCTGACCTATATTGCCATTTGCTTTTCCATTGATGGTTAGTGTTGTAGTTGTTTTCGGTTCTGTTCACGATAACCGTGACGTTTAAATTAGGTTACGCACTGCATGCCGTTTAATTCGTAATCATGGGACTGCTCTGAGGCATAGGGGTGTGAGCTAATTCTAGGTTATTTTGGGGACACTACCGACGATGTACGATGTTGCAGCGTGTCGGTGCTCATTGTGCCGCCGTTCTGTCGCAGTTCGCTTGCTTGACACAGATAATGTCCAGTTGTAGACTCACTCACACCCCTGCTACCCAGAAGAGTCCAAGAAGCAATGAATGAAAGGTAATGTCACGGTTACCGTGAACAGCACCTTGTTTTCTAATGATGAAATTTTTCTGTCTACGTTTACAGACGGTGTCCTGTCGTCTACGGAGGCATGTGAATCCTCCTTTAGCATAAAGTACATTCTTAGTTATTGACCGTCAGAGTGTAGGTGTTTGTGCGTGCGCGCGCGCGCGTGTGTGTGTATATAAATGTGTCTATCAGTCTCTCTGTGTGGTTTGAATTTGTTTTCCATGCGCACGCATGTTGCCTAATTTGTCATTTGTTAACACTCATATCTTGTTTCGTATTTGTGTATATTTGTGTGTATATGTACAGCTTCTGCCGCGGGTTCATAGTCACTATTTCCCGAGGGCTCGAAACATTATCATTATCCAATACATCGGTGTCGGAGAATGTCCCCCCAAGAATTGACTGTTTTTCAACTGCAAGGATCTATAGTGTCACCAGCATACCTTGTGTTTGCTACCTCATCAAGCAAAAAATTACGTTGATCATTAATCTCTTGTTCTCAAGCCATTTTCCCAGCTCTATGTGCTTTCACAGCAAATGTATCTTCAATGTCTTGTATCCACATTCGCGGAGATCCTCCTCCGTCTCGTTTTCCAGAAACTGCACCCTCCGTAACCGTTTCTCTCCAGGCCGCTATTAGGCGCGTATGCCGGTCACAATACCCAAGCTTTCGGGATAGGATGCTGTTCATGAGCCAGTTCTCCTCCTTGTTCAGATCCTGTAATAATTGTTTAATTAAATCTCACCTACACGCCTTCCGACGTACTGAGCTTACAAAGCTGGCTGCATTAATTGTTTATCGATCAGCTCTAACTGCTCATGAAATTAACATTTATCTGGTCGCATTTCTTTCTTAGAACATTTTCTAGTAGCCATGTTAATAATGCCAGCTAAACTGCAGATTAGGCTAGACTTGTGTAGTCTTTAGTGGCGCCCTAATTAAAGTTTCTTTGGAGGATGTACTATACTGCTACTACTACTACTACTACTGCTACTACTACTGCTACTACTACTTCTACTGGTGCCACTAATAGTAGTTTCAGTAGCAGCAGTAGTAGTAGTATCGTAACATTGGTTATGTGGTCAAAATTAAACCATCGCCTTTACATCTCAGGGAATTTTCAGGTACACTTTTTATACACGATCGACTTTGGAGCCAAGTTCTAGCCCCCCCCCCCCCCCTCCACCCCCCCCCCCCCCCCAATCACTCTGCTTTTCTCTCACACACACATCGAACACACACACACGCACTCAGAATCGTCTAGTCCCCCAATCACACACACACGCACACACATATACATACACACGCACACACAAATATAGACACACAAGCACACACACACACACAATGGGACCGCGTTAGCGCAGTTGATACGAGACTCGCTTTCAAATCCAGCTGTGACTCGCTGCAGCCCACAGTCGGTGTTTGAAACCGGGCGGTTTCCGGGGTTCACTAAGCCTTTAGGAAATGGGTACCAGAGTTAGAACTCTGGGGTAAATGGAGGAACGTCGCTGTAGCTACAGAGTTACGTGAGGTCGGCGATACAGGCGGACAGTTTCTTATCAGCTGTCCGTACTGGTGGCAGAGCACTTATGAAATATAACCGCGTGCAACGACGCTAGATCACATCTTCCGACTGTACTTTACCTTTACAAGCACACACACAAAATCGTCAATGCGGAGTCGACTGCAAACTCCAACATCCCCTGCCAGCTTAAGTTAAACTCCGCTACCCTTAATGCACAGTGAGGATATTTGTCATGAGTCTTCTGCGAGGCTCCACAACATCAGCAGTTTCCTGGATCCCGACGCATTTGAGGGACCGGGTATCTCCTTATATTACCACCTTAACCTTTCCACGTGCCTGTTTCCGAAATCACATGAATCGCATGTAGAGGAAATTTATAATATTCAGTTTATACAAGAATCTATCAACCAACAGGACATTTTAATTTAAACTAAAACTGGTTATCTTCACATTTCAGGTGAAAGAATAAAAAGCCAGACTGGTAGAAGAAGAACATACCTGGCTATTGGACTTCTGGCTCTGATCTCTCTGTCAGTGATTGGCTTATTTGGGCAACCTGAATTATTCACCATGTCCCACCCAGCAGCAGAGAGTGTCGTTAGCAGCACGTTTAGAGAAAGTTACACCAGGGTAAAGGACCAGATTCTCTCTGCTGACTTCTCTCACATACTGAAAGAGGAAACAGATCCTGATATGAGGAAGTTTCTCACAAGACGTCTGGTTGAAATCCCGGAAGATACAGACCGGAGAGCTAAAGTGTT